AATAATGACTCTGGACATCAAATGTGTCTACAATTATAGAATCACTCACATGTATCCATATCCATTTCAGAACGTCATTAGCTGAATAAATGTTGATTATAATTTTAAATTGCATTTTGTTTATTAAGGATTAGGGTCCTTATTAAAGTCTCTTTATATTGAATATTTTTATGTTCCCTTTTTTAGTGCACCACTGGCAGAGTACTTGGATAAACAGCTACTTACACAGTTATTACATTTGACAACACAACAATCTACATTTTGAATACAGAGTGTCCATATCTCAGGGAAAACCTTGGAATATATCAAATCCTGACTAACCATGGATTGAAGCTGATGAGGAAAGGCTTTAAATTAATTTAGATTTTGCAGGGGTGCAACTTATTTGAAATTGATCACAAAACTCAGAATGTTGTAATATGTTTGTACCTGCAACCAATTATGCAAATTATCTTATACTATAATCTGATTTCAGTATGAAATGGTGGTATTTATGTTTGAGCTAGACAGTGACCCTTTTCAAGTAAAGTTTATTACTATGAAAATGAACAGTAAGGCCACATGAACCAGGAAATGTATTTAAGGGCACCCTCTTAACCACAGCATAAAGTTAATTGATTTTAGGCTCAGCATCACAACGTTTTTTTGCAAGTTTTGATGATATGTGGGATCAAATTTTAATACAACTGAATAAAGAATTACAGTCCTCTAAAAAATGGGTTTTGTATAATTTGGAATAGAATATAATGTCAAGAATTCATGTCTCCAAAGCCAGACCTCTGGAGTAATCAAAGACAAAGACAGAGAAAGCTGAAGAAGTCATGCAGTTTCTTGAGGTTACAGATTGATTTGCTCTTTATCAGCCACATGAAGAGAACATCAATGTCATGACTGAATATGAGCCTCTGTGGGGACAAAATCATCCCCACCAGAACAGTGAGAACCTTCCCTAATAACAAATGTTGGATTGCCAGTTGTGAAGGAGCTACTAAACAAGAAAAAAAAGTCTTTAGTGTGAGATGCAGGGAGTAATTGAGGATTATACATAAGCAGCTCAAAGTCAAAATTGGAGACATAAAGGAGGTGCATAGGAAGAAGCTGGAGAGTAAGCTATAAAACGACATTATCAGAAATGCGTAGTCAGGGATGAAGAAGCTCACAGGCTTCAACCAAAAAGAGGAAGTCTGGACAAAGCAAACGAGCCGAACACTTTCTTTAACAGAATGACTTCTGGAACAAGCTCATCATTCTTCTATCTTGATTCCAGCCAAATAGACATTCCACCCTCCTTTGACTTACAGCCTTCCTGTCAAACAGACTGGACTGCAGACTCAACAGGGAAACCATCCCTGTTGAGATGGAAGGACGGAGCAGGCTGTACTTCTTGAGGAAGCTTAGATCCTTCAAGGTTTGCAGCAAAATGCTGAACATCTTCTAGAAGTGTGTTTTTGAAAGTGTCATCTCTTCTGTCATCATCTGTTGGGGCTGCAGTAGCAGAACCACGGACTCAAATAATTTTAAATTGCATTTCTTGTTGAACAACAAACTGATGAAGAAGGCTGGTTCTGTGCTGGGGACGACTGTGGAATCACTGGTGCAAAGAAGGATTTTACATAAAATTAAGAACATTATGAACAACCCTGAGCATTCTTTTGATGAGACTGTCACAGAAAAACAGGGAGGTTTCTTCACATTCAATTCAAATTCAAAAATACTTTATTTATCCCAGAGGGAAATTAAATGTAGCTTGTATTAATTCAAAACTCTTCATAGAAAAATTGTGGATGGTGGTGGCTGCTGACAGGAAAGATCTCTTGTAATGGTCTATATTACAGAGAATTAGAAGAAGCCTTCATGCTAAAAACAGGCTCGATTATGTTAAAGACAACTCAAAGATCATGATCCTCATTGATGCCTCACATTGCCCATTATGCTAGATGGAAGAGATGGTTTGAATTTTCCTCCTCCACCATACTGCTTCAGGTCTTTCCTGCTCACAGTTATCACCATGTACAGTAACTCTTTGAAGAATCTTGGGATCCTTTTGGGATCAACACATAGTTCTCATGTGACATCACACTTTCAGGAACTTTGCAGTTGACAGCCATCTTTGTAGGTACTCTAACTGTCATGACAGTTGCTATGGAGTTGCTATCCCAGATAGCAAAATATGAGTGAATCAACCCTGAAACACTGAATCCACATTGAAGCCTGACAGTGAAACGATATTGAAAGTGGTCGGTGTTGAATCAACATTAGGGTTTCAACATAACTGGCACTATATCAATGTTGATTCAACCATCATCTGAATGTGGATCTACACATTTGTGTTTTTATATTGAATCAAAGTTAAGGAACAAATATTGATTCATGTACATGTTTTGGTCTGATAGTTCTACATCATAACATACCATTACAAGTTTCTTCACTGGTGTTAAACATGCAATTTTGTTGGTAGGCTATTATGTCGTTCAAAATTATCTTACACCACTATATTTCCAAAAATGTGTCTACACAAACTTAAAAAATGACAACATGGCAATAATATTACATTTTATTTAAGAAAACAGGCATAGATCTGTAAGTAAATTTGACTCTTTTTTGAACAACATTCCATTGTCCATGGAATAACAATGTCCATGAGGTTAAGTCTTGTACTGAACGAACCAGGGACACAGGACACGTTGGGGTAACCCAAGTTTGACTCTGATTGGCGACACTTTGGTTACTTGAGGCCTTCCTCTCGTTCTGTTGTGTAACAAAGCCACTTTTTGACAGTATTGCTGTAGTCCATGTCTGTCAGCTTGGAGTCAAACTGCTGAGCAGCAGCTGAAAAACAAAAGTAAGAGTGAGGGTGTCACCAGTTTGGGCCTGTTAGAAGGATAATAAACATTTGAAAAGTTTTGAAACACATTGAAATATTAAATAGTGTATTGGTTATAGGTCTGAGGACAAACACAGAAACTGTGCAGTTCCCTTGTATGCCGACAGTTAAATTAATAAGGACACACACTTTAACTCATGTTAAAATGAGGCAATCAATATTTAAAGTAAAAGCCTGTTTATCAGAAAACATAAAAATACAACTCAGGAAGAATCAGGGTTGTATTTAACAAACCGGAGAAAAGAAAAAGGTGATTTGTATTGTAGTTGGAAAAAATATTTACAATCAGCCCCGGCTCCAGACGAGTTTAGCAGGGGGTTGAATCGGCATATTGTGGGGGAACAGGGAAGACAAGGTTTTACTTTAATATAAATACATAAACAAACTTTTATGTAACCTTTCAAATAAAATAACCATGCTTATTAGTACAAAATAAACAATAAGTAGCAATACATAGCACTAATAATATTACTCAAGTAAAACGACAATAGTACTGTTCAGTAAAACTACTTTTATAAGTACCTTTTTTCCCAAAAAAGTTACTCAAGTGAATGTAACAAGTACATGAACATAGATAACATCAGTAGTCTGTACTTAAGCTTAACGTGATATGTTGGCATTAGCTACTCATCATTTAGCTAACATTACCTGCATCCAACAGCTTTACTCAACTCACTTGGTATAAGTTTGGGGGGAAAAACTGTGCAAAGTTCTTTGCATTTTGTTGGTTTGCTGCCATGATTCTAGCACATCTGTGAAGCTCTGCCCAGCAGCAGATGTAAACCCAGCATGAGCGCTCATGTTGCGTTTAAAGGCATCTCGGAAAAACATGTTACGATGTGTTAACGATTAAACAGTTGTAAAGGCAGAAAAAAGTGAGAGGGCACATATATGGGAAGTGCAGAAGCCTCTACTGCATCAACTCAAGATAGGAATAATATAAAGTTGGCCACTCTGAGGTAAAAATAAAAAACAGCTTCCAGTTAAGAGGGAACACGGCTGACTCTGTGCCGCCAGGAATGTAATTGCTGGGTTTCAGATAGGTGACCTGGATGACGCACAAAATTCAGAAGGACGTCCAGAAATGGATTTCTCCAGTTCAAAACAGAGCAAAATGAGGAGAGGTACCAAGATGGCGGACTGACAAGCTGTGTTTCCTGTATAAAACCAGCTTTCTGGCTAAGTAACGTGTATTTCCAACCGAAAGTTCATGATGGATTCTCAGAAGCTTACAACGGATACAAAACACCTTTGTATTCGGGATTTTGCTTGCAACAACTTTTAAAAGCTTTTAAAATGATACAAGATGCAATGGTGTCTCTGACTGAGAGGACTCAAGGAGAGGAAAGATTAAAGTAACAGAGAGACAATAATAAAAACTCTACTAAAGATTGCCCCAGATCTGGATGCGGCAGTGGATGATGCTGTGATGTTGTGCACAGACTGGGAAAGAAAGATCGTCGAACCAGACAGATCATCATGTTTGCTCAAACAAGAGTGAAAGAGTAGCTGTGGAGATGAAGCAAGAACTCTGCAACATGTAAAACTGAAGGCATCAGTTTTGCTGAGATAATCTCGAAGGAAGATCTGGAAGACAGAAGACGTCTCTGACCTCTTATTGAGCAGACAAGAAGAGGGGGAAAACGGGCCTTCTTCAAGGGGTCCTCATGCTTATATTGAAGTTTGGAGCATAAATGACTAGGAGCAAAAGTGGTGTAGATTTAATAAGACTTTAAAGGTGTAAAAGGTAGAAATGGTCTGGTAGCTGCATTGAAGGCTGTGCTTTGCTAGTTGATCATTCATCCACACTTTTCATCTTTTGTAGTTTGAATTTAATTACAGTTCACGTTTAATGTTAAAGTTTAATTTGGTTCATTAAATGTTAGGGGCTTAAAAGACTTGGCAAAAAGAAAAACTTTATTTTTATTTTTCAAGGGGCAAAAATCAAATTGTTTATTTTTACAGGAGACTCATTCCACAGAAACAGACTCTTCATTCTGGTCAAACCAACAAGGCGACCAGATCCTGTTCAGCCACGGCTCCCCGAGATCCCCAGGCGTGGCGATCTGCTTTAACAACTTCCCTGGAGACGTCCTGACCCACCGGACTGACAGAGGGTCACCGGTTGACAGGCATGGTAAAAATTAAAGATGTTTTTGTTATATTGATTAATGTATACGAGTACAATGATAACCAGAACCTGTTTATGTTAAATCACCTGTCCAATGTCATTGCGGATTTAAAAAGTCGATACGCTACAAAATTTTTACTAATAGAAGATTGGAATTTAATCCCAAATGAGTGACTAGATAGATGGCCTGCTAGAATAGAGAGACCCCAATATAATAAAATCATTAACAATTTTATAGCATTGAGCTAGCTGTGACATGTTTGGTTACCTGACTCTGGTGCAGGACAATTGCAAACACAACACAGTAAAAGGTAAGTCTAAAGTTTATTTTGAACAGCAGCCGGGACAGACAGGTGAACGGATGGCAACAGGCAGGAGGTGAGGACTGGTCAGGGATTCGCTCTTGTGGGAAAAGGTGAGTTACTGATACGTCATCTGAATGGGAGATCAATGTGCAACAGAGAAGAGGCTGATCTTACTGTTGGTGGAGATGAGGTGATCCTGGGGGGAAAAGGGATATCCACCGAGACCATTGGAGGGTGGACAGGCAGGCAAGCGAGCGGGTTGATCAGGGAGCGATCCAGAAGCGAAGGTGGGCAGATAAGAAGGAGCCAGGCAGGAGACAGGAAGCAGCTATCAGCATGCAGCTGATGGGGATGCCACCGGGAGGGAAACAGAACCAGCGAAAGTTCGACTCGGACCATGAACGAGAACTCAGAGGATAGAAAAATGGACAAGTACGAAGTTAGAAACGAGACTGGGACTCACTAGTATCTGTTACCAGGAAGCTCAGGTACCACTAGATACGTAGGACCATCTGGCATCTGCCACCAGAAACCAGCTCCTATTTAACTGCTCCTCCTGATAAGATGATGAGCTGCAGCTGGCTACGCCTGTCTGACACACCCTGCAGGAGAGAAGGTAGGAGACGTACACACTCACAGCACTCAGTTCAGTGGATATGACAAGCTGTGGCACTGAGTTAGCCGCTAACAACGTTAGCACTCTGGGGACTACCAAGCTAGCGTGTAAAAATAATATATCTTACCTTACATATGAATGCTTGTCTTTCTGAGTAACTGTCCAATAAATTACCTCAAAATACGATTTCAGCGATGCGAAGGTTACCCGTTAGAATGTGGTCACTGAAAACTCTGGCATTGTTAGTTTCCGCACCTCCTGTTTTTAGCCGTAGTTTGTTGCACTTATCTCCTCTTTTTTCAGTAAGTTTTTAAAATTAACTCCCTTGTGACCAACTACTCTTGAAACACAAAAATAACATTTATTTTTTTAATATATATTAGAACGTTTGGAACAACTGTACATAACACAAACTTTAAGCTTTTTGTTGCTGGATCAACAGCAGTAAATGGGCTGCATTTACTTCTTGCCCTCCATCTGCATTGGGTGACGTCAGTGCTATGTCTTCTTCTTTTCCATTATGGTGGATCGCAAGCAACTTTAAGGTGCATACCGCCACCTACTGTATATGACTGTGTAGCAACACCACTTTATATCTATTAAATTCTATTTTTTAAATTTGTATTCTGAAGCTAAATAATTTTTTAATCTGTAAAAATCCCCTATATTTCCTTCATTTCCCAATATTCCTTTAAGACTCCATTCTTGACCAGTCCTTCCAAACATTCTTCTGAATTTCTCCCTTTCAGCTTCAGATTTATAATTCAACAATGCGTGTTCTGCATTTTATTTCTCTCCTCATCCTTCACATTCATCATTATTTTTCCTCCCTTCTAAATATAAAATGTCATTTAAATAGGTATGACCTACTCTTACTCTGATCATTATTATTTCTTCCCTTCTGTTTCTCTCAGTAATATTCCTAATTAATACTGACTTTTGTACTTTATATAATCTTCCTTTCTTATGTTCATTCCACCTGTTTGCCATTTTTCTATTTCTTTATTCTTATTAAGTGATTTCCCTTCTCATTTCCCAAAAGGAATTGAAATTATAATTGCCCCCTCTAAAACCCTTTTTGCTCATTTGTCTGCCTTTTCATTGCCTTTTACACCTTCATGTGTTGGTACCCAGCAGAACCAAATATCAGTGCCACCCCTGTGTAATTTAAATAAACTGTGCTGAGTTTCTAATACTAAATCTTTCCTATTATTTCATTCTCCCTGAATACTTTTTAAAACTGCTTTAGAATCTGTGCATACCACCACCCTGTCTGGTCGAACCTCCTCTATCCACTGTAAATTTAATATAACTGCCATCATTTCTGCTGTAAAAACAGATAGTTTATCTGGTAATCTTTTGGAAATGTATATTTTAAACTCTGGTATATATATTCCTATTCCCACATACCCTTCTAAATTCTAAGAACCATCTGAACATGTTATAAGGTAATTATAATATCCATCCATCCATCCATTTTCTATACACCCTTGTCCCTTAGTAGGACTGGGAGGTGCTGGTGCCTATCTTAAGCTAACATTCCGAGCGAGAGGCGGGGTCACCCTGGACAGGTCACCAGTCTGTCGCAGGGCAACAGAGAGACAGACAGGACACACAACCATACACACACACACTCACACCTCAGGACAATTTAGAGAGACCAATTAACCTGACAGTCATGTTTTTGGACTATGGGAGGAAGCCAGAGTACCCAGAGAGAACCCACCATGCACAGGGAGAACATGCAAACTCCATGCAGAAAGACCCCAGGTAGGGAATCAAACCCAGAACCTTCTTGCTGCAAGGCAACAGTGCTACCTGTGCCTCTATGCAGCCCAGTAATTATAATATGAGTTTCTTAAACATACATTGCTCTTTGTTTTCCTATTTCATTTAGATTCCAATCATTTTTCATTTTAAGAAGTCTCATGTCTACATTTACCTCAGGAAATAGCCATGGAGGAATAACACCAACCAGATTAAACTGCCCTATTTTCTTATCCTCCATACAGTTTAGTCAATTTGTCTATAATCCATCCAAGTCCATTACTCTGGAACTTTGAATATTCCCAACAGTTTTGTAAAATTGTTGAAGTTACATTTTCTTCCTTACTACTTTTAATTTTCATCCAGTATACTAGAGCTAATTTTATTCTTCTCATTTCCAGTGGAGTCTCTCCAGTCTCTATTAAAAGGGCATTAATAGTTGTTGTTTTCACTGCTCCACATACATAAAGCCCTACTCTGTAACCTATCTATCTTTAGTAGTGTTGTTTTAGCTGCTGCTCTATATATAAAACTACCATAATCTATTGTTGATCTCATGAGAGCCCTATATATGTTTAACAATGACTGTCTATCTGCAACCTAGTTATTTCCAGCCAGAGCCTTTAGTAGATTTATAACTTTCTTACATTTAGTTTCTAAATTATCTATGTTTTCCATGTATAAGAACTATCCAACTATAGTCCTAGATATTTAAATTCTGCTTCCCTTTCTAAAGGCTGCCCACATATGGGGAATTGTTCCTATATCAATATTTATCTTATTTGTAATAATCATAAAACAAAACTTGCTTGCTGGTCATTTAAAACCCAGTGCTACGTCATCTGAAACCCAGCAACATTTACAGGATAAACTTCCATCAAATAACTGGTTCAATTTTTCATAAACCACAAACATTTCCAAATAGGTTCATGATTAAATTCATTCAAAAATGTCCCAGTGAAGCAGGTCTGGGGAGGCAGGTGAGGCAGGTGAGGCAGAATGATAATTTATATTGCTACTTTCACCCTGTGGTTTGCACTATAAAGTATTTATTTTTCATTTAGCTAAACCAATTTTGATTATTTTTTTTTCTTCAAAATCGCTGAATTTTCGCATTTTCACATTCAAATGGTTGGAAGCGAAGCTGGTGAGGCAGCAGGAAGCCGAGCCTCACCTTGGATTGCGCCACTCGATGAGAGCATGCTCCTCCTGTCTGTACCTCACCTATGAAATGGTTAAAAAACATTTAATATATGGACTGATTTTTCATAATTTAGCTTATGTATATAATGTACAGTGTTTTTTGTCACCAACTGTGTGTGTAACGTGATTCGTGTGTGGAGGAGCGATCAGAAACAGCAGAGAACAGATTCGAGGTGAGGCAGGCCATTTTCTTGCCTCATCCCAGTTATTGGTCTTGTGACTCCATGTCTGTAGAGTAAGAAACAGACCTGTAAGCTAGCCATACAGTAAATACGTCAAGTAAGTCAAGTGCAGCCACATATTTATTGTTTCTCCTCTCTTCCATCATCAACATGGACGACTACATTTCTATACTTATCAGTTTGAGAGACAAGAGACGTGAAACAAAAGACGGGGGGGCAAACAGAGTAATGCAATAAAACCGGGGGACATAACGTAAGACCTGGGAGAAAACTAATGTGAGAGCGGGCGGCCCTCCAGGACCCACTTTGGGCACCACTGGTTTAGACGATGGCATGAACTTGCTTTACTAGTCTTTCAAATCTGATGAGATCATCAAATAAACCAAAGAAACAAGTAAATTTTGGGTCTTTTCTAGCACCCAACAATATTCCCAAGGACACCGTTTCAGCCCAAATACATTAAATGCTTTAAATACAAATCAAGTTAGAGGGTGATGATGAGGTATTGTATTCCTAAGATTATTAGATCCACTGGAGGATCACAGACTTGCTTCCTGTCTGGACTTGTGCTTCTGTTCTCTTTGCTTCTATTGTATCACTCAGTCACACTTGTACTTAGGTTTAGGGTAAGGTAAGGTAGTTCTAGCAGAACATTTCATCACAATGTCCTGGAGGCTCTTCTACTACCTTTTGAAATGGGTCGAATGTGTAAGGGGTTCTGGGAAAGAAGAGCAGTTAACTTAACCCTTCCACAAAGACACCACTGGTAGGGACTGGACATTATGCACAGTTTAGATCATTTAATCTGCATTCAGAAGACCAAATTAGCCTTGTTGATGAAATGGGTTTTATGTGTTTGGAATGTAGTTTGTTTGTTCATTCACTGTTAACTTAAAAGTAGATTAACATTACCTGAAAAACTAGTTAATTAGTTCATTGTGATCTGTAATTGATTTTGTTTCATTTGTTGCTCTGTGACATCTCTGACTGTGAAGTCATGGTGGTCTTACACTGTCAACTGAAATAATCCAAAGACAAAAAGAAAAGATAAATAAAAGATGTCACTGAGATGAGTGCTTCCTGCCTTTCTTTGAGGGAAGGAAGCTTTTTCAAGTTTGGACAGAAGCTGAGGTGGTTTAGAGAGAGCAAAAAACTTTAAATACTATTAAAATACACCAAGTAACAAAATGTGTTGTTCCAAAATAACAAACTTTAAGTTAACTAATCCTAAGTGAACTCAAAGTATACTCATGATTAGTCTGACTTAAAGTATGCTTAAGTATACTAAAATTTAATATACTTAGTATATTTATTTTTCACCAAGGTTTCTTAGCATGGCGGGATCAATTTTAAGGATACCACATTCAGGATCTGCAGACAGGTTTAATCAGGAGGTGGACCTCCTTCATATTTCAACTTTAATTATGTATACATCTGAAAACAGCAAGTATGAAAAATACATATGTGGAACAGCAGACATTCAGTCCTTTCTTTCCAACTTACCATCCATGTTTATCACCCATCAAACTATTCTTCCCAGAAAAATGGCTTTGGGGTATTTGTCCCTCAGAGATGACCATTGTACAAAAAAATAGTCAGATACCAGGTACAGGATCCTGCCGGTTAAAGACAGTGTCTGCACTCGGCAAATGCTTTCAACATACACTATCCCGACTTTCTTTATTCCCAGAATTCTGAGGAAAAGTCCAGTTATACATAGAGGAAGGCACGTCCCTGGACCATTACACAGCACCTGTGAAAACACACAGACACAAAGAGAAAGGGCTGAGCACATTTTCAGGATATTACACTGACAAAGATCAAAACATGTTTGTCTCTTCAGGATGGCAGTAAATGGGTCATGTTGGCTTTAATCAGAGAAGTGGATGTTGTAAACACACTTGTATTCAAAGTTGAAGGCCACATTTAGACAAATTCTTCTCATGCTATGAACACAAAGTTGAAAGAGAGATGACTCTGTCTAAGGCCCCATATTACATTGGGCCGGCCCTGCATGAAGAGCCGCTGAGCTGCACATCTCTATGCTGGAATCTAACTGGAATCCCCCGGTAACCCTATATACCAGTTCACCCCTGCTTTTAGGACATTTTGATATATTTAATTGTGGAATCTGTGGTTCAAATTATTGGTACAGTATTTTTGCTGATATTTATGTGATATTTTATGAGCTCCAAATGTTATGAGCCGAGTCTTTCTTTAGCAGTTGAGGTTCTGCAGTAACTTCTATTCACAGCCGCTCACCTCCAGCCCAGATCCCATCAGCAGCAGTGCAAACCGCCTGGTAGTAAGGTTCGGTTAAGGTGAAGCAGAGAGCGAACAGTGAGCTGGTGGTACCGGGGCTCTGAGGTGCGTCGTGGTGACGGTCACAGTGCCGTTTCTTTATATCAGAATGCTGGATTTCCACCAGAAAACTTACTAAGCCCGGTGGTTGGGACACTAGGGCAGTCATTCATTCAGCGGCCCACCGAGTTTTCCAGTTAAAAAATCTTTAAAGTTGGAAACATTTTTTAACTCAACAGGAAATTTGAGAATATCAATTGATAATTATTTGTTATTAGAAGATTAATGCTTGAATACTGACTATAAAGTCTTGAAAATGCAAACATTCAATAAAACTTAAATAAATAAGCAATGCTTAGCCTGGTGGGGGCTCAAGGAAAGCCTGGTGGCCCACCAGGCTTATAATACACTGAGGATGTTTGATATAAAGACAGACATTCCTTATATCTGTTGATGGGACCGAGTCAGGCTGCATTTAGTCCAGCACTGGGCAGCCTGATATAGTTAAAGTCAGAAGTTTTCTCTGCAGCTGAGCTATTTTTGTGATTGGAGTTGAGGAGGGTTCTGTCCCGCTATTGCGAGGACAATTATGAAAAATAAATAGAGTTTTTCTAACTTCAACATCGGTTTTTATTCACAAAGAAGTGTTGGAAAAAATATTTTATTGCCCATAATTTGATAGTCTATAGGGCGCAGATCCAGCCCCCTCCTCCTTACCACGGACCTGGAGTCTGAACAACATGGAGACAGAGAAACTGAGAATCCGTTAAATCATGGACTGAGGGCAGCCATACTAGCTTATTTCGTTAATTTATGATAATTAGCTAAATATTATTGTTGAGGGGCACAAACAGGCCTCCTGACATACATATTAAAGAAAAATGTAAAAATTGAAGAAAAAAAAAAAAAAACTCAAAGGCCACTAGGGGCATCAAGGATAAAAGGGGTAGGGACTCAAGCCCCTTCAGTTATCTTCAGGCTTTTTTTAGTGACTTGGTGTTAAGCCTTTTATCCATTATTATTTTTAAACACAATTCTTTGGTAAGCTAACATTAGTGTCTTTGTGTTCACATCATGGCAAATAACCAGTTGTTTACATGCAGTACCTCACGCCTGGGATTACAGTTTGAGAAAGACTGCCTTAGAGTCAAGCAGGTGGTTCCTACTTCCAGCAGCTAAAGATATGGAAAGATGTTAGCTGCCAGAGGTCTGGAAATATCCAGCTGGACAAAAGGCGTTGCCATAGAGCAGGTCAAAAACAAAATTAGAACCTTGTGGTTCACACTCATGTTGTCTACCAAACCAACTGAACTCTGTGCTCTTGGCAGACAAGTCTCTGGAGCTTTTATTCACATTGGTTTAACTCTAGTCTTAACTTCATCAACAGAAAAAAAACCAAAAAACTATTGTTTTCTGCTGTTGTGAACCATCTGAAAACAAATCAATAATATGAAGTGCAGAGAGAATCAAAAGACATGTTTCTGTTAAGGTTTTGGGTCACTCACCACATCAGGTTGGAGTCTGAACACCAAAGGGAGGGAGTATCTCAGAGCCTTCAGGGTACTAACAACAGAGGAACTCCATGACTGGGCCACCTCTCGGCTCCGTGGGATCCGATTGATGGTGAACTAAACAGTTAAAACATAGTGAGGATTTTCTTCTTTTGGATCTGAGTAAATAATTACTCCCTAAACTTGACAACTTCTTGCTTCATGCTTGGCAACAAGAAGTGTTTGAGATAACAGGCAATGAGTAATTTTTATCATTGTGGAGGAGTGACGCCTACTCTTTGCAGAATTTTCATTCAGCCACATTGGAAGATTTTCAGCATGAATGTCCTGTTGAAGATCATGCAACAACATTTTAATCCATAAATTCAGACATTAACTAGGGGAATCCCAACTTTTTATTTTGTTTTCTGAACCAATCAGCGATGGACTTCCAAGTGTGCTCCAGATCACTGTCCTGCAATAGAAATTGATGGTTGGACATTATCTGCTATAGAGCAGAGATCATGTTTCCATCAACAAGTCATTCAGGTTCTGAACAACCGTATACCACCACACTATGACCACCATGATAGACTCTAGGTAGGACATTGTTTTTCTGAAATGCTGTATTAATTTTACAACAGATGTAACAGGATGCACACCTTCCAGAAAATAGTTTTAAAACCCTGGAGCTGCAAAATATATCATAGTAAAATCAGTGTGCTCATGTTCCAAAGAATTATTTAGTGCTATAATTGTTGGCTAATGTGTTCAAATTGTTAGGAACATAAATTTTTCATGCCAATACACCAGTTGGAGTCTCATGGCAGAACACAAATGACATTCCCCAAAATGCTAAAAGTCACAGAGTGATGAAAGCACATATGAGAGAGTGAGAAAAGGACGTGATAAGCTCATGCTGCAGCCCTGCTTCCAGACTCATAGTTGTCAGGGACTTTGATCAGGGCCCAATGTGTTGCTTTTGGAGATATTCCTTTTAAGCCAGAGTTAAAACACTTGTTGTATCCTTCCCAACTCTTTGAAGCAAATTATCACATTTCCCAGATAAGAAATGATGTTTGATGGTCTTTTTTCATCCTCATCTTATGTGTGACCTCCATACTTTTATGCTTTATTGACCTGCAATCCATCATCTCAACATTGATTTCCATGCTTATTCATTTGCTCATGTCTGGTGACCTCCACCTGCCTCATCAGGCATGCCTGGGCTGATACAGACCAGTCAGAGGCAAGTGACTCTCTTCAAACTTGTCCATTATTTGTCTTTCTGTAAATGGACAGCAGTAACATGTGTCAGATCAGTGGGACACTGACATAACTGTTCTGTGGAGTTCAACAACACCATTTTTAGTTCTCTTGGTGCATTCTGGGCCATATTTGGCTCCTCCCATTGCTCTCCAGCCCTGTCCTTTATTTGGAGTGGTGATTCATGATAACAATTTAATTCAGCCATCCATGTTTCAATTTATGATTAGCTAATATGGTCTTTTCAGGAACCAGGAGGATATTTGAAGTTTAGGAAACTTTATTGACCACATAAGTAAATGATTATTTTTATCATGGATAAAGGCATCTCTTAAGGACACATTTCCAGGTACGATGGACATCAATTAGCTGTGCTGCTAATAGAGGTTTGGGGCAGGACTAATTTGAAACCATAACCTTACATACAACAAATTAAAAGATACCATTTTTTCTCACTGTCTGAAGTTAAATCAGACCAAATCTCTTGTTTTAAGTCAGAATGAACAAAGTTATTTTCATTTTCTAAATGCCACAATAATGAGAGGAGGAGTATGTCAAATATTTATTTATTGATGTTTATGTATATTGAACTGGATGGTTTGGGTGAAACCTTTGGGTTTCCTTCCACAAGTTTTTCACAATAGTTCGCTGTTGTTCTGGCCCATTCATCCTGATGGAACTGGCATAACTCAGTCAGGTTTGTAGGTGCCTCAATCTCACATACCTTTCCAGAGTTGCCCACATTTTCCATAGGACTGAGATGAAAACACTGACTTGTTCTTGAGCCACTTTATACTCTGGCTGCCTGCTGAGGGTCATTGTCCATCTGGCAGACTCCGATAGTCCAGAGCTTGAACTCCTGCCTCATGTCTTTATGAGATGTAGATGTTGCTTCAATATTTTTATATATTGTTCTTTCCTCATAATGTAATTTATTAAATTCAATTTCAATTCAAAACTACTTTTTAATCCCAGAGGAAAATTAAATATTGTTACAACTCATTTAATGAAAGAGTTATTGTAGATGGTCATAGCTGAGGACACTGGCTCAGGTTATAACAGGAAATAAGATCAGCTACCATAACTATGCAGATGATACACAGCTCTACATTATGTCACCACGTGACCTTTGACCCCATCCAATCACCGAATAGATGCTTAGAACAGATAAATATGTGGATGTGCCAAAACTTTCTCCAGCTGACCAGAAACAAAACTGAAGTTATTATCTTTGGACCTAAAGAGGAGCGAACTAGAATCAATGCTCAGCTTCAGTTATTACAACTAAAACCAGCGATAAGCCCGAAGCCTGGGAGTAGTGATGGCCTCTGACCTGAACCTTCAGGTCAGAGGTCTTCTGACCTGAAGGTCAGAAGACCTCTGAACATCTTCTTCAGAGATGTTCTTCTATCACCTGAAGAACATCTCCAGGATTAGAGGACTGATGTCTCAGTGAGATCTAGAGAAACTCATCCATGCATTTATCTTCAGCCACATTAATTACTGCAACAGCCTCTTCACAGGTCTGACTAACAAGTCAATCCTCCAGCTGCAGCTGATCCAGAAGCTGCTGCTGATGTTCTCACTAAAACCAGGAAGATGGAGCACATAACACCAGTTTTAAAGTCCCTATACTGGCTCCCTGTAGCTCAGAGAATAGACTTTAAAATACTGTTAGTTTATAAATCACTGAACGGTTTAGCACCACAATACATTAAAGATCTGCTGTTGTTGTATCAACCTTCCAGACCCCTCAGGTTCTGGTTCTGGTTCTGCTCTGCATCCCCAGAACCAGAACCAAATGAGGAGAAGCAGCATTCGGCTTCTATGCACCACAAATCTGGAACAAACTTCCAGAAAACTGTAAAACAGCTGAAACACTGACTTCCTTTAAATCTCTACTAAAACCCACCTGTTTAGAGTTGTATTTGAAACATAATTAATTAAGAATTTAATGATGGCACTTGACTTAATGTTATGTTTTGATTGTTGATTCTATGTTACATGACTTTGTGTTTTTGTGTTTATGATGTAAAGCAGTTTGAAATGCCTTGCTGCTGAAATGTGCTATGCAAATAAAATTTGATTGACTGACTGAGAGGAAGGATGTCCTGTAGCAACAACAGTCTGTATTACAACAATTTGAAAAAGCCTTCCACTGATTTTTTTAAGGCAGTTTCATAAAAAGGGTGGTCAGGGTTGCCCATAGTTTTCTTGATTTTACACCATGTAAAGCAGCTGCTCCCTGTTGTAAACCACCCTGTTGCTCTGGCTACACATCATAACAAAAGAGCAAAGAATAAATATTGGCAAAAACAGTCAGCCCTGCTTAGGAATGCTCCAATCAAGGTTTTTGCTGACAATTCCGAGGGCCGATCACTGTCAATCACTGATACTGATCACATGGATTGGCTGTTCAATTTTTGCTTTAGGTATAAATGCTACTATGTAATCTGGCGAAACAAAACCACAAAATCACCTAATATAGACAAACACATTCAAAATACTTGCAGGCACAATGCAACAAGCATTTTGACTGAACGCTCAAAGAACGTTCAGTCAAATGTTCTTTGAGCGTTACTATTAAACAGTAAGACTGTACGTTAGGACAAAGCAAAAGTTTTAATTCATATGTAAAAACGTATTTCTAAGTTACATGCTGCAGCTTTAAGTGGGTGTTCAATGTAACACTGGTTCAATGTCTGGTGGGGTGGAAACAGCGCTACGTCTGAAATATTAAATCTCAGTAGTGCGTCACTGCAGTTCAACAGCGAGAGCAGAACCCAGCGTCTTACACCGCTAGCCTGAAGACTTAACTTATTTTTTGGTTATTTGCTTTGCTTCCTTACCATCATACTAATCCGGCTGAGTCCTGGCAGTTTTGTGCTGCTTCCAAGCTTACTGTGGGTAATACACTAATATTTAGCTAAGCCGTGGTTTAAAATCATGCATGGCACGAAAGGTTCCCCTGCTTAAATCAGCACACATCTAAGCCCGTCTTAAGTTTACCCATGACCATTAGGATGATCCAGGGGAGTCATGGGAGAAAGTTATGTGGTCAAATGAGATCAAAATATAACTTTTGAGTTCTAAGAGAAATGTATGTATTCCACCTTAAGTAGTGGAGACCTAAAGCAGTGGAAATTGTCAGCAGCACTAAGTTCCTGGGGGTTCACATTACAAACAACCTTAGCTGGACACCTCATATCACTTCACTGGTGAAAAAGGCACAGCAGCGCCTGTACTTTCTGAGACGAATAAGAAGAGCTTCGCTCCCCCCTCCCATCCTCTCCACCTTCTACAGAGGCACCACTGAGAGCCTGCTGACCAGCAGTACCTCCATCTGGTCTGAAAGCTGCAAGGCCTCAGACTGGAAGTCTCTGCAAAGAGAGGTAAAGACAGCGGAAAGGTTCATTGGAACTCCACTCCCCCCATCCAGAACATTGCACACAGATGCTGCTTAGCCAGAGCAAACCAGATCCTCTCTGATTCCACCCATCCTCTCCATGGTCTGTTCATCCAGTTGCCGTCTGGCAGGAGAGTCTGTAGCATCCACTGCAGAACAGCCAGACTCAGAAATAGTTGTCCCTACTGGCCACCAGATTGTTCAACAATCCCATCATGAAGACTGTCTGAAACTGTTTGAAAATACTAAGTTATATATAATGTGCACATTTTGGACCAGAACCCGTCAAATTCCTGAGCATTATGATGTTTGGACATTCCCATCATGTCTATACTTGCATAACTGTTTGAGCAGATGAAGGTAGTGTGTTTTAAGCATGTGGAAATTGTTCTCCAGGCTGAACTAGACCGGTGAAGCTCCACAGTTATCTCCTGATATTTTGACTAATTTCCGAGCATATGAAACGATGAAAGCATTATGTCACAGAAAGCAGGGTTTTCCAGATCATCCACCAATTAACTCTGTCAGTCAATCAAAAGTTTGCAAACCCATGACGTCATTATCTGGCTTTTCGCTCATTGTTTACAGAAATAGTAATCATTCTGTACGTAAACCCATGATTTTGAAGTCATTAAAAAAATCCTTGACATACTCTCTCTCTCATTATTGTGGCATTTAGTACCGTACATAAATCATTCAGGTAATTCTAACTGATCTACTTGCTACCGCGGTAAAGTCGACACATCAATGCCTGTACCTGGACGTCAGCGTGTGACTGAGGTTTAGAACTTTCAAAGGCGACAATTTTCTCCTCACTCATCTTGTCAGTGTCAGCGATCACGTAGTGTCGAGGTGTATAGGCAGCAGAGAGGCTCTCCATCAGCCGCATGATCTCTGTGGTGTGACCACCTAGAAACACGTAGAGCAAACAAACAGAAGCTAAATCAACATGTAGCTGTATCACCCAGGGAGACTTGATCACCAGTTTCTTTTTACTGATGATCCGTCACTAAAGTGAACACAGGACAGCTGGCCTGATCTGGTTAGACATGGTGGTGTGAGCCAGAAGAGGCTCTTACAGCTGTGTACCTGACCAACTGTCTGACTGCAGTGCGACTCTGTCTCCAATCTTACCTGATCCTGCAACGACCAGAACCGCAACATGACTTCTGGTTTTGGGCGGATGATTAGATCCCGAATTTAAGACAAAATAAACCCGAAGAAGAAATAATAAAGCTGTCAGGAACAGAGAGAACACAACTCCAAAAAGCAACATCACAGCAACTACGGAGGCTGTTTTAAACCAAAAGACATTACTTCTTCTCCGGAATGATGTTAATTTTGTTGCATTGCGCCCCCTGTGGTTTGCTTCAGTGACAACTTAATAAAATCTGCCTTTCTCGGACTCATAAATCTCTATCTTTTAGTTAATATGTTAACTGTTCCACACATTCCTCCATCCAGCTGGAACACTGAGTGCTTCTGCTCCTTTTTAAACTCTTCAAAAATGAACATTTATTTTGAAAGAGGCTGTTTCAAGATCCATATTTTCTTTTTCTTTTAGCTGACTTGTCTCTCTTATCCAATGGATGTGCCCACTGTTGTCCTCATCATCATGTTTCCCATGTGGCTGCAAGACAGTGAATATGTTGCTAATAGTCCAAGACTTGAGTCTGGAGCAGAACAGGTGTTCTATCTGTGTGTGTGTGTGTATATATATAGATATATATATATATATAGATATATATATCCATATATATATATCTATATATATAC